TTGTTCCGTGATATTTGGCCAACCCAATTTCTTGATAAATCAAGAAAAGTCAACCACGAATGCATTTAGGGCTGTTGGCCCTCGTCAGTGTGGTGCAGACTGTACTTCTATGACCAAATTTTGGTCCCAGAGGCTTCCTGAGAAATCAAGAAATGGGTATTTAAGGCCAAATTTGAGTAAATACACTTTTCATGTGAAAAAAAAAAGAAATTTTTTAAAAATAAGAAATTTAAAAAGAAACGCATTGCCAGTAAATTTATTTGTGTAAAATTTTAACGATAGAGGGCAATAAAATTTAATTTACTAATATATAATGGTTATGAAAACATGTTTTGCGCGGAAGAGCTTTGCTCGATGCAATACCTTGAAATTTATATGTATGTACCTCTACAGACCTATAAGCTTATGTCCATAGTTCACTAAACACCATTTAGCTGCCTTCCATAGAAAATGCAGGGTATATAACAAAACCAGTCCAATACAATAGTAGAGCGGTCTAGAGATTAATTTGGCGAAACCGCTGAGAGGGTTCACTACTGATGAGCCAAGCCCTCTCATTCATTAAATCATATCATTGCAGTAAGGTCTGTAGAGATTTAAAAAGAAACGCATTGCCAGTAAATTTATTTGTGTAAAATATATATATATATATAAATCCATAGATGTGGTCACTAAAGTGAAACTTACTTGCCACTCCACGCAAGCTGGGTGCAGGCTCAGCTTGTAGAGGTAGTAGGCATTGTAGAGCTGGAAGATCTGAAACCAGAGTTGGTTGGAAGAGGTGAGGCCATTGTAAAGTACAATTTGGATTATAACAACAAGGTAATAAGACCAAATCCATTATTGTGGATCAAATGTCAACAACCAGACACTTTTAACATCCATGGAAGAGGATGAAATCTCTAGTCCAACCTCACCAGCGAGTGCAAGTAACCAAACAGGGCTCTGGTACTTTGTCGAACTGCTTTTCACATGTGTAGACATGTGGTGCACTTATATTAAAAGCAGTCGCCTACTTCTACCCATCATGATCATCATGGCCTGTACCACATGTTTTTTTTTTTTTGCTTATCCCTAGTACACGTGGTACAGGCCATGATAATCATGGTGGGTACTTAGCGACTGCTTTTACTGTAAGCGCACCACATGTCTACACATGTGAAAAGCAGTTCAACTTTGCACTTACAAATGTGCCAGAGCCCCGTTTGGTTACTTGCACTCGCTGGTTTCTGGAGATAGTTCCTTTTTATTAATGTTATCTCAAGTTTTCTGGCATCTCTGCTTTTCTACAGGAGTACATAAAACATAAATGCTGTTAGATAAACGGAGTTTATTTGTTTTATGTACTCCTGTAAAAGGGCCAAAGATGTCCAAAGGCTTGAGATTAATAAAAATGAAAATAATCTCCAGCAACCTGTTGTATTATTAAATTAAATTACTATTCGTTCATTGTATTAAAAAGACTCAGAAGCAATAATTAAAATTGATGGTGAATTTCCTCCATAATAATCATTAAAAGGAATTTTAGTGAAAAAAAAAGCCACAATAATTGTGTGCACCAACCCAATATAATTGGCATATTGTAATAGTTCACATAAAATGTTCATTGTGTAGTGCTAGAACATATACAGTAGGACCTCCATGAGACCCCCCCCCCCCAAGACCTGTTAACTGCCTCAAAGTGGCGGGGGTGACCCTGGACGGGACAGGTGAAGTATGTCTGGAGTTCTGAACTCCTGGTACCTAAGACATGTCCCACTATGTCCAGCTAAATGTTAACAGTCGTATTCCTACCTATAGGTGCCTCAGATGTCCCATCAACAGGAAACGCATCTAAATACTCCAATGGATTCTGCCCCTCCACCTCCATGAGAGGACACCTCTCTACAAAGGACAGTTCTCATTTTCAAAATTACCATTTTTACCTTTTTGCAACTAAAGGGCACTTTAGCTCTGCAATTAGGTGTCCTTTACATGGAGGTTCTACTGTATAATTCTTGGCCGACACACATGTGTGGGGGGAAAACTCACATAGACCAGGGCCAGGAAGGGAATGATGAAGGAGAGGCCTCTCCACATCCAAGAATGGAATCCCTCTGCCATACACAGATGTATCATCACATACAGACGCAGATGTATCATCACATACAGACACAGGTGTATCACATACACAGATGTATCATCACATACAGACACAGGTGTATCATATACACAGATGTATCATCACATACACAGATGTATCATCACATACAGACACAGGTGTATCACATACACAGATGTATCATCACATACAGACACAGGTGTATCATATACACAGATGTATCATCACATACACAGATGTATCATCACATACAGACACAGATGTATCATCACATACAGACACAGGTGTATCACATACACAGATGTATCATCACATACAGACACAGCTGCCCATACATACCTATGGTGATATCCATGTTGTACCTCTCACCCAGGGCCCTCAGCCGGTAGAGGCAGCCTTGCTGATACCGGAACTGGAGGAACTGAACCAAGCCTGCACCCACCCAGTAGATGACAACCACTGAATACATTTCAATGTGATGTAGGACCCAGACCAGAGCTCAATCTGTGGTTGGAGCTTTTCTCAAAAGCTGATATAATAGAATCTTCGTGAGCTTATACTCAAGCTAACAGAGCCCCCTTTATAAAAAGGACAGTTTTCAATGCCAAAATGATTACTTGCACCAATTACAAGGTAAAATGGAAATCTACAGCTGCACAAGCCAGGTACAGAGCAGGAGGGACAAGCATCAATTCTGTCTTCCCAAGGGAACAACAGTCTTTGATTTCCAGACTTAAGTCTGTTCATCTATGGACAATGACTTTCCAGAATGGTTGCAAGGTTTTCCCACTATGTACTAAGTGTCAACCTGCAACCCCAAACCACATCATTGACTGTATTGGCTCATCCATTGATGAGCTTTACTCATCCCCAGCAGACACCTTCAAAAGTCTGAAGCTCTGTAGGTTTGTTACCCTAATATGATTAAGTGGAGATAAGAAAAAAGAAGCTGCTATCCAGTAAGAGGGCACATCTCTTTAAAGAATACTTTGGTTCTGCAACTAGGTGTTGTCCTTTAAAGAAAAGTAGTTTTACTGTATGTAACTGCATATTAAATGTTTTCAATGAAGGAGATATCTGAAAGCTCTAAATATAAAAGTGTAAAAGTTTTTGCACTACTTTTAATATTTTTTTATATTATTCCAGATTATAAAAGTAATTCTCAAAATTGTTTTGCTTTTTGTTTCTCAGCGATCCTTCTTTTCATATTTTGAGTAGGAAATAAGTTACATGTCAAGGGGCACATTTCTACATCAAAGTCAACCAACAAATTCTTCTTCAACTAGGTAAAAAGTACTTTTAAAATATTGTGACGTGGAATTTTTGAAACGATGCAACAGACGCTCATTTAATAATAAATGACAATTTAATAAAGGTCAAGTAAGATAAGAAGCTAAATAAATGTAAATAAGATAAATACAATTAAATACGCGATAGAAAGGATGCAAAAGAAGAACATCTATTGAATGCTCAAACAAAACATTTGAATGGACACGCCATGAGATGCATGCGCAAGCAGCCAGCCAACGCAGTGCTTCAATAAAGGTTGTTGTTGTGTTCAATGAAAAGTGTCAGATGTCCCTGTGCATCTCTATCAAAGCAATTGCAATTTGGAAAATGAGGGCCATCACCACGTTAGAAACTGACCAGAATTTGGTCAAATACCCTTCAATAAAGGTGTTACAATATTAAAAAAACAATAATTATCGTTCATATATGCCTATATATTAACAATATTTCCAAATTTCAAGTAGGTGTATCTCAGAAATATTGCGTAATAGAAAAAAACTAATGTTATATTTGGATTCAGGACATGTAGCTAAGATGCTATTTCTTTGTGGACAAAGAAAAATATTTTTTGATAAACCAGTTACATGACATTGTTTGCATTTTTTACTGTATTTATCCAAATACTAAAAAAAGACAGTCACGCAAAAAACATAGGTGATGGGAAATTTCTGATTAGATTTTTGAGTTCAGCATGAAAAGTTACACTAGAAACATAATCAGGTTCTCTTGTGCAAAAATGTTGTTGACCAGTGTAATTAGCTGCTGTAGGTGGAGGAAAGATTTAAGAGATTGATAGGTCAGGGCAGTACAGGGGCGGATCCTGAGAGGGCAAACATTGTAGAGAGAGAGTGCCCCAAATATAGCAGTTTGGAGTTGAGCAGTAGTGAAGATAGTAATGAGAGGAGTCTGATCATCATTTGTATAGGGATACCAAGATACTTTTGGCCAAAACACATTTTCCATATATTTTGAGTTCCTTACACTAACTATTTTCTTCTTTTTATCTTATATGCTAATAATAAGAAAACTTTTGGCAGAGCTGACTGGGTGCATCCCCAGGTGGCGGATAGGGGAACGACTTTCAGATATGAAAGCCAGCTGCGAAACAAGCAGAATAACTCTGATGAATAAGTAGTTTAGACCAACAGCAGCATTGTTAAGAGAAAGACCTCTTGAAAATCCTGAGTTCAAATGACCCAGTTAATGGACCTCAGCAAGGGTTCCTCCTCTACAGGGATACAAAGGAGCTGCGACTGTACTCATTTATAGTTGGCAGCAAAGGCTTTTCCATGTTAGGAATGCCCTCAAATTACAGGCAAAGTCAGACTTTCACCAAAGTGTGCCTGGATCATGATGCCATGATCAACAAAAGCTGCACCCCTACACCCTGTTCCATGAGATTGACTCATGGAATTTGTGTAATCTTTACACAAGGGGATAAGAAACAACAACAAAAACTATTTTCTTTTCTTGATATAGGATTAGCTAGGCTATTATTATTTATTCATCTTATCATGTATTAGGATATTCAGTTTAAAAAAATTATAAATAAGCCCTATTTTTCTAATCTATAATACAATTTATACCTTATCATGAATATACCTAAAAAGGCTTTTACGGGTCAGTGGAAGGCTGGTTAAACCGTTTGGTTTTCGACCACTATGACCCGGGTTCGATTCCCGCATTGGACACTTTTTTCTGTTAAAAAAAAAAAAATGCTCCAATGGCCCCCGATTCTTGCAAAAGTCCAACCCCACCAGCGAGTGCAAGTAACCAAATGGGGCTCTGGTACATTTGTAAGTGCAAAGTCAAACTGCTTTTCACATGTGTAGACATGTGGTGCGCTTACAGTAAAAAGCAGTCGCTAACTACCCACCATGATTATCATGGCCTGTACCACGTGTACTAGGGATAAAGTAAAAAAAAAAAAAGGCTTTTACAGAAATCAATGACTGGAGTAATGGTTTGAATGTGTAACATATATTCTGACAAGAAAGGTAAATATCTATAGTTATTGTTGACAAGGTAACAAGACCCATTCTAGACATTTTTGTTTTGGTAGCAATAATTATATATTTGAATTATATCAGGTCATCTTGGGAATTTTATAATGTCCAAATATTGTACCTTATCATATTGTTTTCTTATTTCCAATCAATGAAAAAACAAAAAGGTAGTGGGGGGGGGGGGGGGGCAGTTCACATTACTAACTAGACACCTTTGATAAGGTACAATTTGGATTATAGATTAGAAACACAAGATAATAAGACTGATTATTTATTTGGTCTTATTACCTTATGTAGGCCCTGTTATTTTTGAAATTTTGGCTTGGATTAGTAGATGCACTAAATAGGACCTTTGAGAGAGGCTGCTACTTATCATCAAACAGCTTGAGGAGCATTGAATTTGTGTAATCTTTACACAAGAGGATGAGAAACAACAACCTTTTGGTGATTTAGATTCCATTGTGAAAAATAGTACAAAGATGAAATTTTACTTGGATCAGGTGATGCCTTTTTTTATTAGCTTTCATTGTTTTTTATTAAGCAATACACTTCATTTGAAGATTGTTTTCATTAAGGAGTGCAATACAGAGTTAGGCCATGATGGAACAACATTACTTCACCCTTGACAACCTCCCATGCTAATCCATGCACTAAGGATCTGACAAGAGCCCTCAGAAGCTAATGCACAAGTTTATGAGATCAATGCTGTCTCTTCAATAGGAGTTGCTAATCAAGGCTATCATGAGCATGCTGTTGTTTCTTATCTCCTTGTGCAAATATTACATGAATTCCATGAGTTCATGATCTCATGGAATGGGGTGCAACTTTTGTTGATCATGGCACCATGATCCAGGCACACTTTGGTGAAAGTCTGACTTGGCTTGTAATTTGAGGCCGTTCTTAACATGGAAGCCTTTGTTGCTGACTCTAACATGAGGACAGATGCAGTATCCCTGGAGAAGGCCTTTGCTGAAGTCTATCAACCGGGTCAGTTGAACTCGGGATTTTTAAAGAGGTCTTTCTCCTCTTCTAATGATGCTGCTGTTGGTCCGCGACTGCTTATTAGTCAGAGTTATTCTACTTGTTTCACAGCTGGCCTTCATATCTGAAGGTTGTTTCCCTATCCCCCACCTAGGGAAACGTCCTGCAGCAGTCAGCTTTGCTGAGAGATGAGCATTGTACTCAAATGTGAAAAAAAAAAAAAGGAATAACAATAAGCTAAAGGGGTGGAGAATTGGCTCTTTGCCAGCTAGTGTTAGCAACTGTGTTTTTTAATTATTATATTTTCTACTTTAAATATTCTTGCATAAAGCAATCCCACCTAGGAGATTCAGTAACCTATGTATAACTTCTTTAGATATATACAACCATGCAGAGTAAAACCAAGTTGTGACAATGTAAAATGTGCTTTCTTTATGAAAAGTAAAAAGTCTCTGAAAAAAGTGAATGAATCCCAACAACTCACTTGTGTAGCAAGTGTACATGTGGAAGAGTGTCCTGAACATGTCGTACATCATGCCATCTGGCCTGGAACACACAGAGCAGCACTGAGCCAACAACCAAAGGATCTTAGTGGTAGTTTCCTGGCATCACACTCACCAGACCACGATGATCCCGGCTTGTATTGTGGTGATGAAGTGGTGAACCCTCCACCAACCTTTCATCCTGTGAACCACACCATCACAGCTGATCTACATGAAACCACCTCAAGCCATTCAAGATAGAAAACAACAACTACCCCACTTTCCCAAAATGTAGCCTACAGCTCCAGAACACATTTTGGCTTGCATTAGTTGCACTAAACAGGACCTTTGGGAGAGGCTTATCATCCAACAGCTCGAGGAGCATGAACTCATGGAATTCGTGTCATCTTTGCATAAGGGGATAAGAAACAACACAGTGAAACTCCTCTAATTAGGTCTTCAAGAAGAAACATATTTGAAACCTTAATAAGAAACAATAGAGAGGCATTGTTTCAAGAACCTGTTAATAAAGGGAAAAATCACATTGTATGATGGTAGGTTTTAATAAGCCCTAAAAAGGAATGTTACATCACAATTACATCAAAATACACTATAACCTCTTTAATTCAGCTGACGCAGCATGTCCTTCATTAGCTAAACTTTGCACTGAGATATTATAGACTTAGTTGGATATCATGTCCAACATCTATTTCTTTGAAGAGAGAATAAGGAGTGGCATTAGTTAATGTCTTGATTAGCTTGATACCTTAGTGTGATTGAGTGGAGATAAGAAAGTAGAAGAAGAAGGATGTCTTGATTATATCTCTCCAATCCACAATAAATAGAAAGGTAAGAGTTGTTGTTGTTGCTTATTCCTCAAGTCATTTAAACAATCTCCATTAGGTTCCATTGTCTCAGCTTTTCTATTATAGTACTATAGACATCATGGAGAAGGAAAGAGGGGTGCTGTTGGTCTGAAGACCTGGAAGTACCACTCAGTGTGACTTTGCTGGTAGAGTTGTAAATCCCTCATATGTAAATAGTTTGGGAAAATATACATATTGACACTCATGGACAAAACTTGAGGAAGTGCAAAGTCTGATGTCGCCAGTCGCATATTTTTAAGGTGACAGAAGTAATTTTGTTCACACTTGGTTATCTTGTGTATCTTCAATAAAGGTCACTGTAATATCTTTCATTATCTTAATCCTGATATACATACTAAAACTTCCTTAAGTTTTGTCCATGAGTGTAAATAGAATTAACAGTCATTTATAGATTTGTACCTTATTTTAAGGCAACTGTTGGAGGCCACCTAGCCACATACAATAAAGAAACACATTGCTTTAAATAGTATTGAATCAACAACAACAAAAAGCCTTTATTTAGGGTCACTGACCCTATACAGGATTCACCAGAGGTATGCATAAGAACAAAGCAGTGAGACAAAGGAAACAACGATATAGACAGAAGAAAAAAACAAGAAAGAGAAAGAGGGAAGCAAGAAAAACAACACAAAAAGAGAAATAGTATTGAATCATCTATCTTCGCTTACTTGATAAATATTTAAAGATTTATTTCCAAAAAAAGAAAATCCCCACCTGGAGCCATTGAGGATGAGGATGCTCTCCCGGATGGTGAGGGTGCAGTAGTACCACACCAGGAGGAAGTGGAGGAGGGAGGCAAGAGCTCTGTGCAACAAGGGGTTGGTTGGTTGGTTGGTCACACCACTGTCTCCACTCACCGGGTGGTGACAAAGAGGTTGATGGAGGATATGGCAAAAATGATGGTAGTCACCACCAGCTTGAACCACTCGTACTCATCCTTGTACTTGAACCTGGAACACACACAATGTATGTGTGCACCAATAATTATCATATCAATGCCATATGATCAATGCTACAAGAATCCGCAATAAAATCCTGTGTTCAACTGACCCGGTTGATAGACCTCAGCAAGGGTCGCACTCCAGGGATACTGTGTCTGTACTCATGTTAGAGTCAGCAGCAAAGGCTTCCATGTTAGGAACGGCCTCAAATTACAGGCAAAGTCAGACTTTCACCAAAGTGTGCCTGGATCATTGTGCCATGATCAACGAAAGCTGCACCCTTATACCCCATTCCATGAGATCTTGAACTCATGGAATTCGTGTAATCTTTACACGAGGGGATAAGAAACAACAACAACAACAGAATCCGCAATGAATAGACAACTGGACCAAGACAATGTCTTTCTCCCCGACTATACCTATTAATTGATTATCTTGGAGGGACCTGATTGAGTAAACTGTACACCAGGACTGATTCACCTGAAATAATTACAGTAAAACCCCTCTATAGCGAACCCCAATGGAGCTGAACCTGTGGTTCACTATAGCCATGGTTCGTTATAGCCATAGGTCACTGTATTACAGCAGAACCTCCATGAGAGGACACTCTCGCTAGAGGACACCTCTTTAAAAAGGACAGTTTTTATTTTCAAAATTACCATTTTTACTAAGTAGCAACTCTCCAGTAAGAAGACACCTCTCCTTAAAGGACACTTTGGCTCTGCAACTAGGTGTCCTTTACAGGAAGGTTATACTATATAAAATAAAAATGGGGATTATTTCAGGTGCGCTATAAAGGAAGGTTCACTGTATCTCAGGTTCATTTTAGTGGGGTTTTACTGTGTATTTTGTTATAGAGCAGGGTAAAAACTTGTATATACCTTTTCCAAAGGTTCAGCTTCAGTATCTATATAAAAGGAAAACAGCTCAATCTAATATTACAAAAGTATAGTACATACTAAGGAAAATAAATACATATTAAGAGAATAAAAGTGACTGGGTACCTTCAAACCTGGTGTTCAAAGTTATCTCTACAAGCTACTCTTACTGGAGTTCCAATCATCAAATACTCGGGTATATAACCACAATATAAAATCAAAAAAGGCATATCCTGACCATAAGCACATGAGCTTTTTAGATGGCCCCATCATGGAATTTGTGTAATCTTTACACAAGGAGATAAGAAACAACAACAAATTGTTTTGGTCCTAGAGGATTCTTGAGAAACCAAGAAATGGGTATTTAAGGCCACGGGGACCAAAAATATTTTGGCCCTCGGCAGAACTGACTGCTACAGGGCGTGTCCCTAGGTGGGGGATAGGGGAACGACCTACAGATATGAAGGCCAGCTACGAAACAAGAATAACTCTGATGAATAAGCAGTCATAGACCAA